TCCGTTGTGGTTCCGGGAAACTTGTCCTGGGACGCGACACGTCGCGGCAACCATGCGCACGGGCCTCTCTCACCTAGGGATGGCGTACATGCCTCCTCCATACCTGGCAACCTGTCGGCGCTTCAAGCACCCACCGTGTACGGCGTCGAGGCCTACCCGGCGGCGCAAGACCGCTTCATCTACGCCACAGTACCAGGTCACAACTCATCACACGGGTTCCGCTTGCCTGGGAACGTCGTTGACGCTTCCAGCGCCCTGGAACCCATGTCCACGAATCCGACCACAGCTGGATTTCCAAGGGACGCCGTCCACGCGTCCTTGGTCAAGAATTGTACCACCTCGAATACCGCAGTCACTGTATCCTCCGCAGAGGCGGGCCTTGGCTCTTCGTGCGGATCACACGACAGCGCAGCGGAGCTGCAGCATACCATCGCGCAACTCCGTGTCACGACCAACGCCCTCATAGCGTCGAGTTCCAAGCTATGTCCTGCCATCTTGCCAACATTGTGCGCACTCAATGCCATGTTGGCTGCGGCCGCCGCACAAAACTTCGAGGTAAGCTCGCCCGAGAACCGTCGCAATCTCCGGCGTTCTCTCGCGGAGGTATCGGAGCAAGTGAACTGCTTGGCGGGGGCACATTTCGGAGTTCTGCCCGCCGTCCCGCCATCGCCGATTTCCTTCGCGCTACCGGAATTTCGCGGCTTCCAGGACGACGCCGAGGAATGGGTGGCAACCGTCAACGCTCTCGGAACGACTGAAGAGCAGAAGTGGGACATGGCCATAGATCGCCTGCGGGATGCTGCCGCAGCATGGCACAGGTACGAAGGCGTCAGGCAGCAGTCCTGGGCAGAATGGAGTGCAGCCCTGATTGCCGCTTTCGGACGGATTTCCTGTGACTCCAGCAAGTCCAGCTCGATCTTCCCCGAGGCCGAGGATGGAGCCCAGGCAGCGCCCCGCCTCGAGGCTGCAATCGTTCGTTGCAGCTCGTCAACGGAATGCTGCCAGGAGTTCCCTGCTGCTGACCCTGACCGAAGTGGCTGGAATCCTACACTACAGGTCCCGGACTCTGCATCGGTATTCGACCTGAAAATACCCCCACCAGACCATTCGTCCGGAGATACGGCCCCTCGCGCGTCGTCGTCTGAGGACATCGAGGCACTCAATCCTATGTGTATTAGACACAACTGAACCCTACCAGACCACGATCATGCTCAGCCACGCCGACACTCGGCTACCAAGGAACGTTTCATTCGAGAAAGCCAGATCCCTATCTACGCTGAGGCCACTGCCATCGAGAACTTGCCGGGACCAGCCCTCCTGCTGTTTCCCTCCCAGCCTACGATGTTTGCACATGACAGTTCGCCAGAAGCCACCGGCTCGACTACGTCTGGGAGTTCTGCTGTGGTATTTATGCCCAACCATGAGCTGCGTCCCTCTCATTTCAAGAAAATGGCCCAAAACGTCATCATGGCGTGCCTCGCAGCGGGCATCCGTTGCAAGTTCAGTCCACCAGCGACGGTGGGACAAACACCAGCGTTTCCAGGTTACTCTGCGACCTTGCCGGAACAGTCAGGGCCGTCCACCTGAACTGCATTCTACGAGTTGTCAGGAAACGTTGCATCATGGACGAGTTCGACCACGGCGACAAAGTCAAGCCCACCCACCAAAAACTTTACCGCCAGCTCCGCGCGCGCACAGGACCCAGTCTCCATCACGACACGGTGAACGACCCAGACGACATAGCCAGTGTCGGCCGCCGGAGCCAATTTCGACAAACTTCCAGCGTGGTCGAGACCGACCACGACGATGTAGCCAACCTCGCCCACCTGAAGCACTGTCAACTGCTGCAGCTAGCCTTACCTACCAGAACATTGTCGTTTGGCCCAACGACAATGCTAGCAGTCATGGCCGAGTGTAATGACGAAAACCGAAACTGGAACTCTCTCTGGCACAGACTCGCATGCTAGAAAGGAAGAGGAGGAAGACGAAGCAGAATAAGAACAGCCGGCCTGCAGCAAAGGCGTTGTGTCTTATTTCTCGTCCTTACAATATATATATGTTTCTCAGCAAGTTTACACCCGGAACGTAGCTAATATTTTTTGAAAGCATGTCGACATAGTTTTGTAGAGGCAATAATAAAGGTTTTTCGCATTTTGCAGTAATCTCAAAGTGTCACAAACTCTGCCATCTGGAGACCTTATTTAGTGACTTAATAGCTGAAGCTTGCGTCATAATGCACATGTCAAGATGTTTGTTTTGGCTGTAAGCTCATAAAACATTGAAGCCATTCAGTGAGTGGTGTAGTGAAGGGAATGATTGTTGAACACCCCACCCCCCTGGCAAACTTTTTGCAGTTTGTATGTGTTTATATACTCATAAACACATGTGCGAACATGTGCATTAAAAGGGGACATGGCAATGAAAACTATTTTTCTTATTTATGGAAATAAAAGGGATGAAATTTTGCATGCAGAGGCAATTTATTGGGTTGTAATCATATCTGAAATGGGTTTTCAGATATCTGTTTTAGTTTTCAAGTTACAACACATGATGGGCTGTTATTGTCATCCGAGAATTAATAAATTAGTCATAAGTTTATCAACATTTTTGAATAAGAATATTTGCTAGAACCCATGCTGTTGCTTTATTTTTTATTTTTTAGATAAGCTCACAAACATTTTTTTTTAATGTCCTGCACACTTTGTCTTACTAGACACATTTATAAAAAGCCAATTATAAAAATTTTCATGATGTTTAGACAAATATGAATAGCTTTACGGCACTAAACCAATGGTTCAGGATCTAAGACCAGAAAATGGAATGCCTGTATCTTTATATATCCTATTAAATCATACAGGGATGACTGACGGCAACTGCTCAATAAATGAAAGGTGAGAAAATGGAGCTCAAAGGAAATGAAGCTAAAGCTAAGAAAGAAAACTGATCTCATAAGGAAGCTGTTTCTTTTTTCATTGTAGAACTTTAGCTTTTTGGCAACTTGAGCTCTGATTTGTTTTTTTTATAATGGTACCAATATATTGGCATTGCACTTAGAGAAAGAAGCAGATTTGAATTTTATATAGCCCAATTTTCTCGGTATTTTTTTAATGACAGCACACTAGTAAATTTTTTTTTTAACTTCTACTGCTCATTTTGGTCTGAAATTTCACCATGACATAAAGTATGATCTGAGGATTGCAGAAAAAATAAATTGAAAAATTGACATTTTTATCAAGTTTACCACTTACATTACCACCTCTTAAGATTGCTTTTCCACTTCTTCCCCAGAAAAAAAATTCTGGCAACACCCCCGCATTGAATCATGAGAATATATATACTGGGCATATAATGTGCAACATAAAAAGAGCACCTTTAAGATGCATAAGCATTTCTACGAAGACACAATGGAAGCCTATTCATTTGTCATGTAAGACATGCAAGATGAATTGCTATAAAGAAATTACTGCAGAAAGCAAGACAACTGTGAAATACAAAATGGGGATGATAGAAAATTCTGGCTCCTATAGCAGCAGTCTGCTACACAATGCACCTTGTGTTTTATCATCTCTCCTAATGCTCTCCAATAAAACTTATCACAGTTTCGTTCCATTTTTCTGCCTTAATTATGCACATTACTTTTAAGCAATAGTTTGCAATATGAATTTTCAATATTATTTAAAAGAATATTGAAATTTTAGATTGGAATGCTCAATCAAATAGAAATAGATATTCTATTTATTACACATAATTCTTAAATACTTATGCACTTCTGTAGAGAAAAGACATAAAACACATCACTGCTTTAGTTGGCAGTATTTAACAGTTCTAATGTGCACCATGAATCCAATACTCATGCATTTTTCCATTGATTGATAACACATAAACCCTACTTGCCTTATTTCAATGTGCACTCGATTTTCTGACAAACATCTTGTATGCCTTTGATTCTGGCAATTGTGATTAGGATGAATTCATTGCAAAGAAAGCAGATGAAGCACAATGCCAGCACTTGCATTCACAAAATGGAAGTTTTGTTTCCTTTGTCATCAACCTCCAAAATACATAGGTCGTCATTGCTCTTCTGGGATCAGAATTTCCGGTCAAGCATGCAGCTGCTGACTATAGTTTGAATGGCTGACCAGATGCTAAGTTCAGGATAGAAGGAATGAGTTTTGGCCCATAAGAATCTACAAGCACCAATCGAAAGCTTGGCGAACATCAAATCTGATGAAAGAATTAAAATAATTAGACTTGAATTTATCAAAATTCGTGGTACTGCCATGCCCTGTAGCATTGAAAATGCAGAACACTTTTCATCAGCATGCTTCGGCTGAACACACTTACGAAAATGCTACCTGTTAAAGGGTGCATAAATTTTATACAAAGTGTATTAAGCACTGAATGCATTATAATGCTCAAAACTCAAGCAGTATTTCTGGCTATTCTAAATTATTATACACTATTATATCACCAAAATACTGATTCGAAAAATTTCCAAGACTACTCTAAGTCAGCAGCTCCTTCTTTTCATCATGCAAGTAAAACATTATTCAGTCTTCTTTACTAGTGGGTGTCAAAGTATTACAGACCTTCTCAAATATGTATCATTATCTTTGTATGTATGCTTTGTTCATTCATAATATGCATTCTTAGCAGGCTTGTGTCTAGGAGCGTTCCCTGTTTCCTCTCCCCTCAAATTCTCATGGAGGGAGGTGTTTCACCAAAAATAAATAGTGAAAATAGGTGTTTTTAACAAATAGTCAAGGCCTTCAGAAAGTGGGCCCCTCTGAAAAACATCCCTGGCTACGGGCCTGAAACTGTCTATAAAATTTCAAAGCATATGCATCACAGCTGTTGAATGTTTAATTATATCCGTGTTAGATGAAATCTTGAACCTTTTAATGCACAAAGTTTCACAAGAAAACTGGAACTCTCATACCAATGCATGTAAAGCCTGCTTGTTAGGTTTTGATTAAAAGTGCAGAAAGCAAACATCTTACTTGTACTCTTCCTTGCTTAAACTTGATAATATGTTTTGGTCATCATCCGTTAACAAGCGAAAAGCTGCACTGATGTGATGGTTTTCAAGAACAGATCGGTCATTGTAGATCAGCGCAGTTTCTGACCTGCAAAGAGAACAGCAGAATAAACACTGCTTCTTCTGGCCTGCAATGTTCACATGTAGTTTTGATAACAGCATTATTTTATTCACATTTTTAAAATTTCAGTCATTTTTGGGATATCGCAGGACTGAAAAAGGCAAAGAGTATCTTTCACTTTTAAAACAATTGTAATAAAAACGGAGCAATGCTCAATTGTAATGTGAACTTCAAAAGGCAGGTACAAATAAAAAATGAGCACAATCCTGATACTTTTTCAATCAAGTTAATTTAGATTCATTAAAACAGTGCTGCATTAACAATCATGACCACAATGGCCGCATGCAATCTATTTCAAATGTGTTCTAGTTTTCCTTTGGCGAGTTGGCACTTCTAAGGGACATGATGTTGCTGGGTAAAACTCAAATAGAAAGAGTAAGAGGCTGACTTTCCGACTTCATTTTCCACATGGTGTTGTTTTTAGATTTTTGCCCTACAGTATTATGTTTTTTTTGCTCCAAGATGGTATGCTTGATGTAGAATACAACTGAAATGAAAGTACAGACCAGTGTCCTCTGATATATTGCTTGAATGTGAAAAAGTGATGAGCTAAGAAGAAGAAGAGTTGAATTAAGTATTTTTTTTTGAAGGCCTTTAGTAGATGCCAAGAATGGAAAACTGCTGCCGACAATCCACAGTAGTGCTTATTTTGTTTTAATGGACCATTCGTTCTACAAGTCTAGTTATTGTCATTTCGAAAGCCCATGCAAAAATGGACGGCATCAACAGGAACACAAAGATGGTGTTGATTTAGTTGTAAATTATTGCTATATCCCAGCGTCACTCTGATCTATCTAGGCTCTTATGAGGTAATTTTAACTACTACAATATAAATTTGAGATATTTAGGTGATTGACAAACATTGTTGGAGTAGTCTTGGGCATAGTGTTGATAGCAAAAAATTGTGTCTCTCTCAGTTTCAATTAAACTGAGCTTGGCCCTTTTAGAAAGAGAAACAAATATATTAAGTAGAATTATCTGTCTTTTATGCTTGCAACACTGGTGTAGCCAGAAGGGAGGTGTTGAGGCGTTCAAACTCCCAACCGCCCAAAACATCTTTCAGTTTTGCATGTGTCATACAAACTCATGCACAAACCTAGATAAAGGTTGTTGAACCTTGCCTGGAAAAAATTCTGCCTACGTCTCTGGCTTGCACTAGCATATTTAAGTTCTGCTGATTAGTACTTTCATTGCCTTGTTTCTAGAGGTTTTTCATGTGATAGTTCTTTATATTTTACTTTCTTGATAGTTATTTATATTTTACAGTTACGGAGCAATATGAGCGATTAATGGCTAAGAACCATAAATGTTTAGTGGCAGCAAACATTTGTCCAAAAAGAGCTATACTTTACACATTATCATGGCATAAAACAAAAGTGTGCAGCTTACTATACAAACTTACATATTTGAAATCAGCATAAAAGTGTATATATACAGCAAAAAATTCATTGCCCTAAACTACAGAATAAAGCGTCAAATCGCTTCTACCCTAAGGCAAACTCTCTTAATCTGAATTCTTCGTTATAGCAAACCATGCGTGAAGCTCAAGTTGTTTTTTCACTGACTCAAGGTAAAAAGAAAATTTAATTAATGCTTAAGACAAACTTTTGCTATGATTGCCATTACTGGATCTCTTTGTTTTTCAGCTTTCTCAGCCTGCTGACAGCCAGGTAATTCTGGTCTTTACAGAAAACAATGTCATGGTCTCAGGAACATGCTTTTGGCAGTGACAAAATTCCTCAGAATTCACCAATTGATTGCACTGGTGATTTGATAGCTGTGGTATTATAAATGAAGACAAAAATGGGTTTATCTGTGGTGGCAGAACAATTTGTAGAGACATCAAAAAGTCATTGCAGAATGAGTAAAATTAAGCAGGAGTGCTAGAGGTCACTACTGTTCATCATGCAGAATCTAATAAATACATTCTGTAATCACCTTTTTATTATAAACCTGCCTCATACACTGTTTTCAAGTTATAAACTTGGATGTACTTAGCAAGTTAGTGGGTTAGTGGGGACACTTCTAATAAGATAAAAAAAGTTTTCACAGTCTCTTCAAGTTCATCTCAATTTATGTTTAAGGTAATAGTGGAGTATTGAAAATTAGATTTTACAACCTTTTTATCTGATGAGGTTAGTTTATATTGGAGGCATAGATAGTGTGCAGCCTAGGTAATAGTTTTTTTTCGTGAGTCATCATAGATGATATGATTGTGTTTTGATCAAGACAACCTTGAAGACCCAAGTATTTTAGTATTCTGAAATGTGCTGAAAAAAAATATGATCTATTGAACTTATTTCACAAGGAAGAATTAGTATGCTTGTCAAAGAATATGACAGATGCTGTTTCAAGGAAATGTTTCGTTTACCAGGACTTTCAACGTCTGTGAAAGCTTTAGAAAGGGTTAGGGGTGTTGTGATCTTTAGATGTGGTAATGATATCACAGAAAAGAAACTTAAAATCAGGAAACAAATAAAAAACAGGGTGTGTCATAAACGGCACACTACAACCTGCACTAGTAGATGCCACAAATGCATAGTTACAGTTGAATTAGTGGTGAAAAAGTAGCTTTGCATTGTGAAACAAAACTCTACCTTGCTTTAATTCCTGAACAAGTATACTACATGAATAAATCAACCTGTCTCACTAAGGCCTACAGTTGTGGTACTGACAGATTTAAAAAAGTAAAAGGAGAGAACAAGCCTGCTTTTTGTCTAAACACACATAAGTCATTATGATGACAGGTTGAAAAACAGACAATTCCAGTGAACCATGATATGGTAGGTTTATTAGAACAATGCGTTTTTCTAGGACCCAAAATAAATAAATATGGTAGCTCTACTAAATATATTCAGTGAATGATAATACTTAGCATAGAGAAATGGGCAGACTGTCAAACATTATGAAACATGAAGAAATTAGACTTCAAAACCGAATACTGCATCTGTTTATTAATGCTCTGGTTTTTCCGTGGTTATGCATACAAAGATGCGAAAGACAAATTTATAATTTTTTTAGCTTTGATCTTATGGCAATAAAAGTTTTGAGAATTCTGCAGACTGCCAAGTGAACCAGTTTCTTGGTTGTAAAGTAGTTGAAAGTTTACATTAAAAAATTGTGGACAGAGAAGCAGACACAGGGGCTCTGTCTTTCTTTTTTCCTAATTGTTTAGCACAAAGTTTCAAGATTAAACAATTCTAACTAGGCCATCTTGCTTACTAACCTAGCTAAAGTCTTGAAACTACACACTTTCTTAAAACTAACACTTTCTTTAATTTTTTTAATGCGTAAAACTTTTGTATTTACAGTATGTTAAGTGTATTATGTATTGCTTGTTTTTAATTGCTGTATTCTTTTGTTAGCTTGCATGAGGTACATGATATGTTAAAGTTTTTTTGCTTGTTGAATCTGTAAGAAAGGTGTATTTGTGATGAACTACAGGTGCAGAGGCTTTTGTCAGGCATACAAAACGCTTTTGGCCTGTTTCTTTTTTCCTGTACTCCAAGAAATGAAATAAACATACTACTTACCTACTTATTTATTTCCATCACATTATTTGGCCTGCCAGTTCAAATGAGTGTAAATAAATGCTAGCCAAAGTAGAAAGTAAAAAGAAAACAAGATCACCCAGGCATGAGGGGGTCAGATGGTATTCATCAAGCCATGGAGAAGTCTTGGCAAGCTTAAAGAACTTTTGCTGAATGGATCTGACTGGTGTTCATGATAATGTTGTTGGGAGTCAATGAAGACTCAGTGGTACTTGACAACAACAATAACTCCACTCATTGCATGTGACCAAGGAAGGATCAAGTAACAATGAACAAATTTATACCACAGCTTGACTGATGGTAAACTCACCGAGACATCACATGGAAGTTGTTGGTTGTTCCAGTGTGTTCATAATCATGGATAATTGCTGCAAACAAGGTGGCAAATGCTTCCAGTTCTGTCAACCAGTTCTGCAATGCAAGCATGTTTCATTAATGTTGCTGCAAGTGTTGTATGATTATGCACTTGCAGTTGTAATAATGAAGTCAAGAGAGCAGACACTTCCAACTTTTGCTGCTGAAATCTGACTAAGGGCAGCATTGAAACACACTTTCCAGCAACAGGGTTCTGCAAGCAAGAGGGTGCCAAAAATAGCCAGACACCACATTTGCAGTATTTGTAGTACAGTTAAATCTGCTTATAATGAACCTCTATATAACGAATTCCTCGATATAACGAAACTTTCGTATTCCCCGCCGTTGTTCCATAGAAGCACTGTATTTGCAACCTCTATGTAACAAAGTAACAGCGGGAGGCAACCTTGATATAATGAATTTTCCCTACGAACAATCTGGAAACTCTGCTCCGCATTTTGTTACGAGCATGCATCCTCCGCGGCTGCCCCACCGCCAACGAAGCGCGAAGCGGCGCACCAGGCGAGAGTGCCCCCCCCCCCTACAGCAAACAAACAAAAAAAAAATGGCCCGAATCTACATGTTACACTGTAAATGTCACCGAAAGACGACAGTCTTGCGTCTGGAGAGAGTGAACAAAACTCATGATATTGTTTAGTTTCGCAATTGTTTCAACTCAGTGCCAAAACTCTAAAAAAGTACGGACCATCTCACCGACGAGAACCCTGATGGGACGCGAAGAAACAGTGCTGCGCACGGCGTTGACCGACTTGATGGACACTGGATGTAGCGTTTACTCGAGTAAACGTTTGTTCGAAACGCAAAGACACGGGAGACGGGTTGGGTTTCGTGTAAGCTTCACCGCAGACAAACTAGCCGAAAGAGTGTTTCCACTCGACGTGCGTTCAAGCGTTGTGGGCGGTGGAGAGGGTGAAGCGAGAGATAAGTGTGTTCTGAGCGGGCGGTGTTTATTTCGCAATTGTTGATTTTCGCAAAATCACATCAAAGGACGTCCTTGACGCGCTTTTGCCGAAATAAACAGTTGAAAATTTGCGCCCTACCCAATCTGTCTTCTTGTTTCGTCACTCCTTTGTACTTTTCGCTCTGCGCAACTATATGACAATGTAGTACCAGCTAGGCCAAATTGAAGATTTTCTACAAATACACTTGCATGGCACCAACTAGGACAAAAGTCATCGTAATTTTAGCAATGTAACGAAGCAACCAATCCGCGACTGTTTTTCGCAGAATCATGGTACCCGCTACACACGAGTAAGCCATTATGTGCACTTTGCTGATGCTGTGGTTGACGACGATGACAAATCATGGCTGATCCTTTCGTAAAGCGTTGGAAGCCTTAAACGACCCACTCATTTCGCGATTTGCATTGCGTGGCACCTGGTTGTCATTCTTCTCTTTTGAAACGATCTATTACACATGTTTTCGATTCCTTCCCGACATGAAGCCTGCCGAAGTTCTGTTTACAAATAACTTCCAAGCTCTGCCGTAGACATGTAATCAATAAACAATGAAAAAATGTAATTCTAATGTGACAAATATAGTCCTGCATAGTTCACAACACTTGCTAGAGTTGACTTTACGCATTACTGAAAAAAAGAGGGCTCCGAGGTAAAATGCTGGGCTGCCACGCAGAGAGCCAGTGTTTGAATTGCGTACTTTCCGTAATATTTTTTTTACTCTTCGTTCTTATTTTGTGTGATAGTAATTACGGAGAAAGGTGGTGGTGGCGGAGGTAGACAACTGTACCGCACCGAAAACGGACATTGTTGCAAACACATAATAGCTTTCGCTGTAAAAATAAACGGTGGGGAAAAGGGGGAGGTGACCCCTACTACCCCCTCCCCATTCCTATAGGCCTGGTGATGATTAGCACTGTTATGCCAAACTTGCTAGAAGTATCACACATCTCACTGCAAGGTACCCAGCAACGAAGCCTGCGTGGCCACCGATTCGATTTTCCTTGAATGCGTGAATTTAAAGCAGATAAGGTCCTGAAAATGGCCTTTCAGTCGTATTGCGAAAAGTAATGCAGTAAGAACGCGTTATTCTGGCTTCCAATCTTTTAACCTCCATTGAATTTTGCACAATATGTGAAGCGTTTCCATGACAATCGAAAACAAGTGGCCCAACGTGTAATGTAAAAGACTTTCTTTCGATCTTTTTTCACTTTTTACAAGTCCCAGCAGAAGTAATTCCGCTGCTACACTTCCTCGAATGATTACAGGATTGAACACTCAAGCGATTTTCAGCTTATTCTCTCTGAAAAGCAGGATTTTGAGTGAAATCACCTTCTCTGTTCCTGAAAGCAGATGTGCGATGACGATTGCCTGTTTTCTTTACTGTTCATCGTCTAGTTTTGCAGAAAAACATGCTTTCAGTGTTTCAAGCTTGAGAAACGGCAGTAGCGGCAGTCGGTGAGGTAGGCGTTTTAAGGTATTTCACCAATGTCAAATGGCCCCTCACCAGGTCTGACAATTTTGGATGACAAGCGCAATGCGTACATGGGGTGTTCACGATCACGTGAGCCAAACGTTTACAGTGCTACGCGACGTGGAAATAAGTCAAATTTCAGGATGAACACTGCTCCCCCTTTCTTTCGCGTGCATGCACCTAGAGAATGAGAACATGACGTGCACATATGAATTGCCCTACGTACACGGCAGTGCAGTGACGTTGGTCTTCTACGTAGACGACTATGCTCTGACGTTGCCAACAGTGGCACGTGACATGGTGAAAATTATTTAACATGACATGCGTAGTTTATGTAGTATGTTGCTTGAAGAGAATAATAAAACTTGAGATAAATAATGAGACGCCTTAAGGGAATGTGCACGTCTTTTTTCCATTCTTTCCTGTGAATTACGACAAGATGCGGGCTAATGTTACGCCGTTTCGCATGCGTTCATGTCCCCGCGGTTAGCGCATCAAGCAGACGCCTGTCCTGGAAAAGAAATTATTTAATGGTCCTGAGAGTTCAAGCACTCATTATGCTCATCTATTCTACCGCGTCTAAGCCAGCGCCTAAGTGACTATAATGCAGGGAGAGGAGTGGAAAGTGACTCTAATGCTGGGTGAAGAGAGGAAAGTGACTACAATACTGGGCGAGGAGGGGCCAATGACTATAACGCTGGGGGAAGAGTGCAAAGTGACAATAATGCAGGGGAAGGAGGGTAAAGTGACTATAAATCTGTGGGAGGAGCGAAAATTGAATATAATGCTGAAGGAAAATTATAAAGTGACGGTAATGCTGGGGGAGGAGTGGAAAATGACTATAATGCTGGTGGAGAAGGCGAAAGTCACTAAAATGCAGAGAGGGGGGAATGACTGTAATGATAAGGGTGGAGTGTAAAGTGACCATAATGCTGGGTAGGAGCGGAAAGTGACTATAATGCTGGGCGAGGCGGAGCAAGAGAATATAATGTTGGAAGAGGGGGGTGTGTGTGGCTATACTGCTAGGAGAGGAGGGAAAGTGACTATGGTGCTAAGGGAGGAGGGACAAGTGACTATGTTGCTGGGGGATTGGGGGAAATTGACTATAAATTTGGGAGAAGAGCACGAATTGACTATAATGCTGGGGGAGGAGGGGTAAGTGACTATAATGCTGGGAGAGGAAGGAAACGTGACTTTGATGCTGGGGGAGTAGGGCAAAGTGAATATAATGCTGGGAGAGGAAGAGAAAGTGACTACGATGCTCAGTGAGGAGGGGCAAGTAACTATAATGCTGGCGGAGAAATAGAAGGTGACTAAAATGGTAGCGGAGGAGGGGACAGTGACTATAATGCTGGGGAAGAGTGGCGAGTTGCCCATTACGTCAAGTGAATTAGGAGCCACTTATACGTGATTAGGCCTAAACAAAGACACAGTACGTCACCCATCTTTAGGAGCGTACGGTGCGGTATTTGGAAGGGGAAGACGAAGTTGTCTGGTGCGGCTCGAGGACTCAAACTTTACCTCTAATTTCAGACTAATTCTCATCCTGTCAACACTGTCAACCTTTTTTCAACTGTAACGATATCAGCAGATATTAATTGGTTGGTTGTTGATTGATTGATTGAATAATTGATTGATTAGTTGATTGATTGATTGATTGTGTGATTGAGTGATACAATAAAGGTATTAAACCTAACTTACACCCATCAAATTTTCAGCCCCTGCAGCTCAGACATTGAATCCCCTAAAACCCAGCTCTGCCACTGTATCACAGAGACAGAAAAGCAAGGAAAGGCAGGGAGGCTAACCAGGTGCGCATCTGGCTTGCTATCGTACACTGGGGGAAGATGGAGGGGGGACAAGTGTAAGGATTACAACGCCACTGGGGAGCGGGCACGTACTATATCGGCTAGACTGCGAGGCAGAGCAAGACGAAGGATAATAGAACGGCTGGTCCACAGCAAGGGTGCTGTCTCTGTGTCGCTTCGTTTACACAAGTGATAAAGAAGTAAATAGAGGCACCATCACAGTGGAAGAGCCGCCCGCGGGACTAAACATATCTCCGAGTTCTTCTCGTCTCTTCGTAGGTGGACAGTAAGCCGAATCACGATTGCCATACACGTTCTTAGACACTGCAGGAACGAAGGGCGTAAGTGTATTAATCAGACGATGACCAAATAGTACTCCTCAATCCTTCAAGAACGTCCCTAAAGAATACATTCTTATTATCCAGACAGAGATCCCGTCAATCGACCTGCTTTTCCGGGCTACGATCGTGCTTCTGTGGTGCTTCGGTAAGAGTACACGCTCGCTAAGTCCGTCGATACCTTTTTTCCGTCAATGTCTATACGACTGTGCTCAAACTTTTACAAGGAATGATTTGTCTTTCCTTCTCCCTGGCATGTTTCCGTGGCGATTCTTATCCAAATGATGAGCTGCACAGCTTGTGTCCTGCGTCTTGCCCTATCGGGAAGGCCCTTGACATATCGGGAAAACAAGAGCAACTGAAGCTTGACGTTCCTTTGTTTGTTTCTTTCTTTCTTTCTTTCTTTCTTTTCCTTTCTTTTCTTCTCCTTTTCACATCTTTTTTTTTTACCTTTGTCACG